GGGGTGGGGAGAGAGAAGGGTAGGGAGGGAGAGAAAGAGAGGGAGAGAGAGGGGGGGATAGAGAGATCGAAAGAGACAAAGGGGGCTGGGGGTTGTAACAGATTTTGTCTAACATATACAGAGATTATTTGAGCAAAGAGAAGCACCCATCCTCGCTAAAAAGAACAGCAAACAAACAAAAAAACATAACACACGTACTAATAAATCACCTTTGAAGATTCGAACTAGGGTCGCCTGCATTATCATACAACATGACACAAACTGACGACACAACCATAAATATGCTGAGTATAAGATAGAAAGGAAATCCAGAAGAGAACATTAAAATTGGAAGAACTACGTGAGGGACATGTAGCAGACCATAATATTTGAAGGACTTCGAGAGACGAAATTTTGTGGAGAATAATATTTGAAAGGCTTCCTGAGAGTAATTCTAGCAGAGAATCATTCTGAAAGGCTGTGTACCACAACCTGTAACTTGTACTACTTCCGCGTTTGCCCATTCAGAACGAAAACGGAGTCTATAATCTTTACAACTTCAAAGACGTTCGTCACAAAACGTGCTGTAACCAAAGCGTTTGTCCGGCTTTGGATAAGTTAATCGTCGCATGGATCTAGTTCGTGCCCGAATTTTACTAATTTCGGCGTATACATTTCTCACGTTATGGATATGACGCATTTGGTTTTTGTCAAGAAGCCCTGCCTATATAAGAAAGAGCAAATAAAAAAAGTGAAATGTTCCCGTTTTAGTTCGGTAAAAGCTTTTCGGCGCTCCCAACAGGTGGCTGTTTTCACGTTAGTCCGCTGCACGAGCTTTGTTTGCTTTTTAAAATTTGAATAATTGGGGTATTTTTGAAATTTGAAATAAATATTCATCCATAAAATAACAATAATTCACAGTTTTGAAATGGCCTTAATTACAGTTTGCCGTAAAAACCAAAGAGCTTTTTTAAAAAATGAATTCTGTTGGGACGCTTTTAAATTAGTGCTTTTAAAATATTTCCTTGTAGTCTTTCCAAATTCCGGACATATTTTTATTAGGATGGCTGACATGACAATAAATCAGAAACGGTCACTGTGACCCATCCGGACATTTTTTCTTTTTTTTTTGTTCCCAATCGGAATTCCTGAATGCCAGCCGCCGGATCCTATCGTGTTATGAATACAATTACAAAGTCAATGATAGGGACATCTGGTGTATGGTTTCTGCGGGAGGGAGGGGAATTG